ACGCAGGCCTGGGGGCATGCTGGGTGGCAGAGCTCTGGTCTAGAATTCTTCAGAGAGCAGCTGCGGCAAGGTACTTGCCTAAGGTCTTTGGCCCCAGGTTCCATTGCCATAAAAGGGGACTCAGAACCAATGTCCCTCTGCCTTGGGCTGACAGCTGTGACTCCATCAGTGACAGAACACTTGCCCATCATTGTGTGGTCTTGGGTTCCATGCCCAGCATCAGAAACACCCACACAGGGCTGGAGAGATGGCTCAGTGGTTAAGAGCATTGCCTGCTCTTCCAAAGGTCCTGAGTTCAATTCCCGGCAACCACATGGTGGCTCACAACCATCTGTAATGAGGACTGGTGCCCTCTTCTGGACTGCAGACATACACACAGACAGAATATTGTATACATAATAAATAAATATTTAAAAAAAAAAAAAAGAAACACCCACACAAAAACAGGAACCCAAAATGCACGTGGCTCAGAACACAAGAGTCAGCCTGCCACAGAGCTGACCTCTCTACGTCAGTGGATTCAAGCCTGAGCTACCCAGCTAGCCCCAGTTGGTCGGATGTCCTTTCTTCCCTCCCAGCCAGCTTGAGCTAGCCTCTGACCCTCAGCCACTATCTTTCCAAGGCTAACAGGTCTGGCTGAGAGGGGGTGCTCCCTGGAACCAAAAGCAATTTTTTTTTCTTTTTTGACTCCAGTTTGCCTCAGCCCTCCTGTGACGAGAGGTATGGGGTGGCCTTTCTTCTTTTAATTTTCCTTTCTTTTTGGTTTGCTTGGGTTTTGTTATTGTTTTTTTTTTTTTTCCAAGACAGGGTTTCTCTGTGTAGCCCTGGCTGTCCTAGGAGTCACTCTGCAGACTAAGCTGGCCTCAAATTCACAGAGATCCACCTGCCTCTGCCTCCCAGGAGATGAGATTAAAGGTACGTGCCACCACCGCCCAGATCCTTTTATTATTATTTGTTATTTATTTTTATTTTATGTGCTTTGATGTTTTGCCTGCCTGTATGTCTGTGTGAATATGTCGAATCCCTTGGGACTGGAGCTATGAGCTGCCATGTGGGTGCTGAGAATTGAACCCGATCCTCTGAAAGAGCAGTCAGTGCTCTTAACCACTGAGCCACCTCTCCAGCCCCCTTTTATTATTTTATATTCATTCAATCCTGACTTTTATTGTCACACTTTCATCAGCACATACTTTGATCACGATCACCTCTCAAGTCTGGCCATGGCAGCACAGCTGTAGCCTCAGCACTTAGGACGCCAGAAGCTGAAGGGATCCACAGTCCCATAGTGAGTTCAAAGCCTGGGACACATGACCCTCTACGTCTCCAAAATAATGTCCCCGTCACCACCTCCCTCCCACTGTTCCTCTTCTTCTTGCCAAAGAGTTCTGGATATACAGGGACACATACAAGGGAGACCAAAAGGAAAAGGGAAAAATTAAAACAAGATTGGAAAGGCATCAAATCAGGCAGCCCCGGAGGCCCTGGGCATGTGGCTGTGAGCAGGAGGACAGGGTCACAAGTCCCATAGGCTCCACCAGGTCACCTTTTCAGACTCGCCACCCTTGCGCGGCTCAGAGTGGATTAGGAGTGGATCTGTGGCTGGCAGCCATTCCTCACTCTGAGCCTGAAAAGTGGGAGAGAGGGGAGGAGGAGTTTCCCATCTGTTCTTCCTGTGAGGAAATGAGGGTTTCACTGCTCACACCCACCTTTCCTCCCAGCTCTTCTAGGCCAAGGGGACAAATAGCATAGATCCAGCAGATGACTTTGCTGGCTGCTCACCAGGGTGTGTCAGTAAAGGCTCGGGTTATGCCCTGGGGAGGGGAAATATTCCATGGAGACATCGGGGATAGGGGCTTATTCAGTGTGTGTGTGAGAGAGAGAGAGAGAGACACGGTGGGGGGGGGAGATACTGTGTGTTTACACAATGCCCCTCTCACCCCAAAGAACATTCCAGAACATCCTATTGGGATCCCAACTGACCTTTTCTTTCATTTATTTATGTGTTTGTTTATTTTTAATTTAGAATGACTTTCTTCCTTTCGTGGGCAGGCGAGTGTACCACAGCATCCCCGCGGCAGTTGGAGAACTCAGCCTGAAAGTGGCTCTCTCCTTCAGAAGGTGCGAGTTCCACCTTCTGAGACGTGGATTCTGGGGGCGGAACCTGGAACGTAGGAGGTCAGGACTGGCAGCAAGTGTCAATGGGCAATGAGCTCAACCATTTTGTTGACTCTAATTTTTTTGCTGTTGTTGTTTTTTAATCTTATTTTAAACAGGGTCTAACCATGTATCCCTAACTATGTTGGAACTTGCTATGTAGACCAGGCTGGTCTTAAACTCACAGAGATCCACCTGCCTCTGCCTCCAGAGTGATGAGATTTAAAAATGTGTCCCACTACACCTCTCCCCTCCCCCCCTTTTTTGGTAAGAGGAAACCTATTTGTTTTTGATACAGGGCCTTGTGTGGTCCAGACTGGCTTCCAATTCACTATGCAGCTGAAGATGACCATGAACTTCTGGTCCTCCTGCCTCCGCTTCTCGAATGCTAGAATCCCAGGCATGTATCCTGGTTCTGGAGAATCCAACCCAGGGCTTAATGCACGCTAGGCAAGCACTCTACCAACAGAGCCCCAGCCCCTCCAGGCAACCTTTTTATTTAAGTATTGCTGCTTAGAGGCCCAAGGAACCCATTCCAACCCAGAATGAAGGGACTGTTGCTGGAAAACATCTGAGTGCATGTGGTGAGCACTAAACATAGTGCCTGACGAGGCACGAGCAACACAGCCTCCCAAAGCTTTGCCTTCCCTGCTGCATAATCTAGAAACGGAAGATGGTGGTGTTGGCTTGTGCTGGGGGTGGTAAGTGGCCCTGCAATCCTAGTACTGGGGACCGGGGCTGCATCATATGGGCTACTAACTGGATCCTGGCTCTAAATGAACCAATAAATAAATGCTTCATCAGAGGAGACAGCCCAGTAGAGTGTGTGTTGTGTCAGTATAAGGAGCCTGAGCTTGGATCCCTCAGCACTGACATGAAAGTCAGGCCTGGTGGCATGTGTCTGGTGGCATGTGTCTCTAACACCAGCCCTGGGTGGGCGGAGACAGGAGGGCACCTGGAACTAGCCGACAGCCCGTCTAACCCAATCAGAGAACTTCAGATTCAGTGACAGACCCTGTCCCCAAAATCAAGGTGTGGGGCTGGTGATGTGGTTCCCAGGGCAAAGTCATCTGCTGTCAACCTTGACAGTTTGGGTTCAATCTCTGAGGCCCCACAGTGGAGAGAATTGACTTCACAAAACTGTACTCTGATCTCCCGTCTCACATCAGGGTACATGTGTCCACATGAGGCACACATGCACGCACATACACATGCATGCACACACACACACATGACTCCACAAAATTTACTCTGCCTCCATTCTCACATTATGGTGCATGTGTCCACATGAGGTATGCACGCGCGCGCACACACGCATCTGCGCGTGCACACACACACAAATATACAAACAAACCTAAACAAAAACAAATAAGGTGAAATATTGAGGTAGACCTCTGCACACATATGCACACACATCCATACATAACACATGCACACACATGCATACAGGAACATAGGAAACATACATACATGCACACGTGTGCACACATAGGCATACATGAGCGCATGTACACAAGAACACATCACACACCAAAAGCAGTTTAAAAATAAGGACCAGTGTTGCAGCTCACTAGTGAGCCCTTGCCTAGCATATCCAAGGTCTTGACTTGCATCACCAGCTCTGCCCATGATGATGAGGATGATACACTAGACAAAGATGACTAAACTAAGCGAGTTGGTGGTGGGCCACTCCTTTAATCCCAGCGCTCAGGAGACAGAGGCAGGCTGATCTCTGAATCTGAGGCCAGCCTGATCTCCAGAGTGAGTTCCAGGACAGCCAGAGCTACACAGAGAAACCCTGTCTTGGAAAAGAAAGAAGGAAAAAAAAAGCCTGCTGAACTGGGCTGGTGAGATGGATCAGCAGGTGAAAGACTCCTGGCGTATGACCTGAGTTCAGTCTCTGGAACTCACTGTAGAAAGGGAGAAGTCACCCTTGGAAGCTGTCATCTGATCCCCACATGAAGGACTGTGGCATGCCTGCACCCCCATACGATTACAATACATAAATAAATAATATTTAAAGTCTATCAAACTATGTCTTTCTAATTGGGAAGTGTATTCTGGAAGTGTGGGATGTCATGGGGTGTAGTTACGTATCTGTAATCCCAGCATTCTGGAGGTGAGGCAGAAGGATTAGGAGTTCAAGGTCATCCTTAGCCAGCCTGAGCTGTGTGAGACCCCGTCTCTCCTGCCTCAAATAAGTGAAATCCCAGGATATCGCGAGTCAGCTGTTTCTTCACGGCAGACATTATTGTTTTCAAGTCTGAAGTCTGAATGTCTAAGTTCATGGTGCCAGCCTGTCCTTACAGAGACTAGAGGACTCTTTGCTCTGTTCCCACATGTCCTAGGACTCTGCCTCCTACAGTAAGTCAGAGTCCTGCTCAGGAGGTCCCTAAATGTCCTCACCTCCCACCTTATAATACCGTGACTTTGGTGGGTGAGGGTTCAACTCGGAAAGTTAGAGGAAAGCAGACCAATTCTGAAAACAGGTACGTCCCACCTCCCCAACCCTGCCATCTCCCTTGCCCCCTGCAGCAGCTTAAACATCAGCATTCCTTCAAGTCTCATATCTTAGAACCAGAGAATGTGAGCATTTGGGGGGAAATGAGATCTTTGAAGGCATAATTGAGAATCTCCACGTGATATCATGATGGTTTGAGGTGTGCCCCATCCACTGACAAATGTCCCTGTGGGAGAAGAGGAAGGGACAGAAGCCCAGAGACAAGGACAAAGGGGAGCTTGCAGTTCCAGCTTGACTGGCTGGGCCCCTGCAACCCTCCTGTTTCCCACGCCGCACAGTGCTGGGTTACAGACCCAAGCTGCTGTGCCCAGCCTGGGGATCCCAACCTTCCCCGCAGGCTGCGCAGCACCTTTCCCACCTAGCCATCACCCCAGTCCTTGATTTGAGCCCCCACAGTTTAGAGTTTGCTGTAGCTGCTGCACTGAACTAATACATTGCTCTTATTGTTTGAGTTCAGAATGTCCCCACAGACTCATGTTCCAATGTTGGTTCCCTATCTGGTGGCAGTATTTTAGGCGGCAATAGACTCTGTAGGAGGTGGGGCATAGAAGTAGATCTGTAAACAGAGGCAGAGATTCTCTTTTGTCCCAACTGTCAGGTCACAAATAAACACACAAAAGCTTATATTAATTACAGAATGCTTGCCCTATAGCTCAGGCTAATTACTAACTAGCTCTTATAACTTAAATTAACCCATTTCTATTAATCTATATTTTGCCACATGGTTCGTGGCCTTACCTGTTCTCTAGTACTTTTTGTTCCTCTTGCAGCTGACTCACATCTCCCCTGACTCTGCCCTTTGTCCTCTCTGTATTTTCAGTTTGGTTTTTCCACCTCGCCTTATTCTGCCTTGATATAGGCCAAATAGAATGATAAGGGAGTTGGCTTTTGAAGGCCAAACCTTGTTCCTGGTTCTGGTGCCTTTCTGTCTTGTGGCATACATTCCCACCAGCTCAGATGATGCCCTCGCTGTAGCCTTGCCTGTTGGAAGATTGTGAGCCAATATAACAGTGTAAGGCACCTGGCGGTGATGGCACACACCTTTAGTCCCAGCACTTGGATGGCAGAGGCAGGCAGATCTCTGAGTTTGAGGCTAACTTGGTCTACAGAGAGACACAGAGAAATCCTATCTTGCAAGAAAAAAAAAATTAAGCCAGGGTCTCCTTGTAGCCCAGACTGGCCTCAAACTCATGTCACCAGGTAGCAGATGACCTTGAGTTTCTGACCTCCTGCTCACACAGGCTAAATGCTGGGGTTTCAGGTAAGTACAACATGCAAATGCAGTGCTGGGGAACCCAGGCCTTGAACATCCTGGGCAAGCACTTTGCCAACCAAGTCACATGTCCAGCCTCCAAAAGTAACCCTTGAAGTTGTTTCTCTCAGACATTCTGTCCCAGCAATGAGAAGGCGACCAGTAAGGGTTGGCAAGACGGCTCAGCAGATAAAGGTATCGGCTGCCAAGCCCCAGAACCTTGAGTTTGATCCCTGGATCTCACATGGTAGAAGGAGAAAACTGACACTGGCAAGCTGTCCTCTGAACACACACACACACACACACGCATGGTTGCCTGAATGTAGACACAAAATAAATAGGCATCATAATTTTTTGTTGTTGTTGTTTTTTTCGAGACAGGGTTTCTCTGTGGCTTTGGAGCCTGTCCTGGAACTAGCTCTGTAGACCAGGCTGGTCTCGAACTCACAGAAATCTGCCTGCCTCTGCCTCCCTCCCGAGTGCTGGGATTAAAGGTGTGCGCCACCATCGCCTGGCATGCATCATAATTTTTTTTAAGTGACCAGTACAACCTCCTCCTCCAGCAAGTCCTAGAAAGTCATAGTGGTCTCGAACTGCCCTCTCATCCTTCCTCTGCCATACTCCTCCACCAAACTCTGTCCCCCTAAGCCACCACGAAGGACCCACTTTGCTTAACCAGACAGCAGTTTCTTAACTGACTCTCGTAGAAATACTGGTAGGAAAGGAGAACGGGCTGTGAGACTCTGATTTCCGGTTTCTGTTGCTGTGAGCAAGCCCCATAACCACAGTCACTTGGGGAGGAGAGGGTTTTCGTATTACAGTTCTCAGCGGTTCATCACTGAGGGATGTCAGAGCAGGCACTTGGGGGCAGGAGCTGATGCAGAGACCATGGAGGGTGCTGCTTACTGATTTGTTCCCCGTAACTTCTTTCTCAGTCTGTTTTGAGAGCACCCAGGACCACCAGCACAGGTGTGGCACTGCCCACAGTAAGCGGCGTCTTCCCACGTCAATCATCCACCAAGGAAAAGCCCCACAGGCTTTCCCACCAGCAAATTTGGTGGGGACATTTTCTCCATTGGGGCTCCCTCTCTCAAAATAACTCTGGCTTGTGCCAAGTTGCCAGCACAGTCTCCCAGAGGCCTGTGTGTCAAAGGTCAGACTCTCAGGGTTTACAGATGGGTCCTCTGCAAGGGACGAGCCAGTTATCCTGCCTGACCAAGGTCTTAACGGCCACTGGCACCTCTAGGACAATGTTTGGATCTTCTCTCATGATGAGAATGGGGTCCCTGTCATTGACTCACAGCCTGTTTGTGTTGATGTATGCTAGCAAGGAGAAGGAACTCTCTAGAAGTTTGGCGGCCCCTATACAAGCACCTCCCCTTGAGTGTGGTAGAACTCTGTGGTCTGCCAAGAGAGCATGGCAAAAGTGGTGGGATGCCACTGCTGGAGGTAGGTTATAAAAAGAGATTCTCTCTTCTCTCTCTCTCTCTCTCTCTCTCTCTCTCTCTCTCTCTCTCTCCCCACAAAACACACACACACACACACACACACATCCTCTCTCAATCTTGTTCTTTTACTCTTTCTCAGGATCTCACTACACAGCCCAGGTCAGCCTCAAAATCATGGTAATCCTCCTGCCTCCACTTCCAGAGTACTGAGGTTTTAATCCAGCACCACCCACACCTGGCTGTATTTCTGTTTTCATTGTAATGTGTCTATTGGCTATTTGGACTTTCATTCAATTTTTGTTTTATTTATTTGTTTTAAAGATTTATTTATTTCATTATATGTGTTGAGTGTTTTGCATGCATATGCACTAGGTGCATGCCTGGTGCCTGCAGAGGTAAGAAGAGGACATCAAATCCTTGGAACCAGAGTTACAGACGATTGTGAGCTGCTGTGTGGGTGCAGGGAGTTGAACCTGGGTCCACTTCAAGGACAATAGGAGCTATTAACTGCTGAGCCATCTCTCCAGCCCTTGTTTAATTTTAAATTCACAAATGAAAACTACATGTGTATTTATAGTGTGCCCATGCGGTTTGGGGACATGTGTGCCCATGGGGTGTGGGGACATGTGGACTGTGGACAATCTAAATGGAGCTACCCACCATGCTCTTTCAACTTTGCCTCAGAGCAAAGGCGACTCGAGGGCAATAGAAACTGCCGTGTGGCATTTGAGTTTTTCTCTTTTCCAGCCTAGGGACATGTGGTCCCCTGCTCCTTCTCAGTGCTGTGCGGTGTAGGACGGCAGACACCCCAGGCTGCGGCAGGAGGTGACAAGAGCACAGATATCTCCGGGCACTGTGTTGCTAAGCCAGGATGTTGGGTGGCTAGGTGTATCAAACACATCTAGTTATTGTTCAACTCAGGGCTGGGAAGGCATTCATAAAGCGCTTGTTTTGCAGGTGTGAGGACCCAAGTTTGATCACTAGAACCCGCATTAAAAAAAAGTCAGGAGTGTTGGCCTGCTTGGAGCCCTAGTGGGGGAGTGGGGACAGGGGATCTCTGGGGCTGACCAGCAGCTAGTCTCCGGAATTGGAAGTGGTGAACTCCAGGAGCAGTGAAGAACCCAGAGAGTCAGAAGAGAGAACCGGATCCCTTGGAGCTTGAATTACGTTGTAATCTGTCCAACTTGGGTACTAGAAACTGAACTTTGGCCTTCCAGAAGTGCACCTAACTGCTGAGCCATCTTCCCTGCCTCAAGACTGCCATTTTCTAATCATAAAATCAATCCCAGCACACAGTAGGTCCTCATTATTGCGTAGTGAATTAAGATTTTCGATGAGGTGACCTTTAGACCCTGCGTGCAGGTCCCTGTCTGCTCAACCTGAGCTACAGTCACCATGCACACGGCCAGCACTCTTTGAGCAATTGCTGAATGCACAGGTCATGTGATCACAGGACAGATGTTCCCATTTTGTCTTCAGAAGAACTGCTGCCACCGTCCTGTTTACAGTCAGAAGGGCACAGGTACACAGCGGCAAAGCCATGAGGTTTTTTGTGTGTGGGGCAGAGTTGTGTAGGCACATCCATGTGTGTTCCTGTCTGTGGAGGTCAGAAGCCCATCTCATATGACATTCTTTTTGTTCGTTTGGTTTTTTTAGAGATAGGATCTCTCTAAGTAGCTCTGGTTGTCCTGGAATTCACTATGTAGACTAGGTTGGCCTCGAACTCAGAGAGATCTACTTGCCTCTGCCTCCCAGTACTAACATTAAAGATTAAAGGTGTACACAACCATACAAGCATGCCTGATTTAGACATCATTTTTTTGTTTGTTTGGTTTTTTTTTCCCCCTTGTATCCCTGATTGTCCCAGGCTGGACTCAGATTCACAAGTGCTGCCTCCCAAGTGCTGGGATTAAAGGTGTGCACCACCGCCTGCTAGGTGTCATTTTTACGTGCGTCTGTTTGCATGTCGTGTGTGGATGCATAAATGCCAAGGCATATGTATGGAGTTCAGAGGAATTGTTAGAGTGGGTTCTCTCCTTCCATCATGTGAGGTCCAGGAATTAAACTCAGGTCATCAGGATTGGCAGGAAGCGCCTTTACCCCCCCCCCCCCCAGCCATCTTGATACCCTTAATTTCTTTCTTTCTCTCACTGGCCTGCGTCTCTTTGATTAGGCTGGTCAGTGAGCTCCAGCAATCAGCCTGCCTCTGCCTCCCCGGCAACACTGCTTGCCATTATGCCTATTTTTAAATATGGTTCTGGGGACTGAACTCAGGCCCTCTGACTTGCACAGCAGGCACTTAACAATAGAACCATCGCTCCAACCCCCACGTCACAAGTGTCCTAAAAGTGCAAATCCCAGCCAGGACTGTCACCCAAGTGCTGGTGTCTCCAGTGAAACTCGGCTCCTGCGAGAGAGGGATGTGATAACACACATCTGTTTGTAATCCCGGCACTCAGGAGGTAGAGGCAGGAGGATCAGGAGTTCGGGGCCAGTCCTAGCCAAATCACGATGATGACGATGCAAAAAGGAATTCAGCTTGTGTGTCCAGTGGCTCATTTTCTTGTGGCACAATGAACCCTGTCCCCTCTCCCTTCCTCCTTCCATTAAAGTGAGATCAAGAATTGTCTTAATGGCCAGGCAGTGGTGGTGCACGCTTTTAATCCCAGCACTTGGGAGGCAGAGGTTGGTAGATCTCTGTGAGTTCAAAGCCAGCCTGGTCTACAAAGTTAGTTCCAGGACAGCTAGGGCTACACAGAGAAATCCTATATCAGAAAACAAAAACAAAAGCAAACAAAGAGCTGGCATAATGAGCATGAGCCAGCAGGCCCAACTGAGCAGGGCCAGCTCTGCCTCAGAGAGAGTGAAGTCCAGGTGGATGTCTTCAGGACACACAGAGAGATGGTTTCATGGATGGAGGAGGGTCCTGAGATATCTCTGTAGCCTGTGCCCAGAGAGGGCACTGAACCCTGACAAACACATGGTCACAGGTGCCAAGTCTGCAAGACAATGGAGTCTGTGTACTGCAGACCGCATGTCTACCCTGATCTGCATCCCCCCCGAGGCTGTGGGAGGACAGCGGCACAGGTAAGTCATCTTGACCTCCTGCTCTGGAGGTCAGAGGCCACAGTAGAGACATTGGGCTGAGCCAGACTCTCTCTGAAACCCAAGCCTTTTGTGTCTCCTGCTGACGTCTGGTTCATACCAAATGCTACTGGTCCCTGGCTAGGATATACTCTTGTAAGATGTCCCTGAGGTGGAACTGTCCTATCCTCTCCCACCCTGTGTCTCAGAGTCTTCTTTGTTTTTGCACTCTCCAGGACTTCTTTGTTGCAAGGCTTGTGCTTTACTACTGAGCACACCAGCCCCTCAGCACTGGTGGATCCTAGGCATGGATTCCAGGAAGGCACTTCTGAGACCCATTCAAACGGTAATGGCTTCTCTTTCTCCCTCTCCTTCCCCCTCAGCTTCCCTCTCCTGGGTTTTGTTTTGTTTTGTTTTTGAGACAGGGTTTTGCCTGGCTGTCCTGGACCTTGCTATGTAGACCAGGCAGGCCTTGAACTCACAGAAACCCATCTATTTGCCTCTGCCTCCTGGGTGCTGGGATTAAAGACGTGCCTCTCCAGTTTCTAAAGTTAACCTTAAGAGCATCTATCCTGGGGAATTCTCAAGAGCCCCAGACTACGGTCAGTTCGTCTTACAGATGAGAAGCTGAGGTGACCCTGCGGTTCCCAGTTTGTTCATCATTAACTGGTGTTTACCCAGCACTTACTGTATATTACACTATTTGGGCACTAAGGATACTATGGTAAATCAATATGAAAGTCTGCGAGGAGGGCTAACAGTCTGTGTAAATGGGACTAGATGGGTAGGTTATCCCCAGGCCATAGAGACTGCTAGTACTGTAGGGCACTGGCTGCCTGCCTTTTTATCATTAGTCTTTGTGGTGGTGTGTGGTAGGTTCCGTTACTATCCACCCTTTTCTAAATGAGAACCAAGCTTCGGGGGTGAGCAACACGCCTAAACTCACACAACTAATAATATCACGCCAGAGTCCAGACCACAGGTCATAGGTCAGGTGACGGTAAGACAGGAACAGCTGTTAGCTGCTAGCAGTAGTCAGAGAGGTCCTTTCCTGAAGGAGACATTGAACAGGAGGCCAGCAGGGGACATAGCAGGCAGTCAGTGGAACCCCTCAGGTGGACACATACTGACTGTATCTGGGGTGCTGTGAGGAGACCCTATGATGTTGCCTGTGACCCCTTTTGGCAGCTCAATAGTCACCTGGCATTTTGTAAGGTTCTTTTTGTTTGCTTTTTTGGACAGGGTCTCACTCTGAAGCCCAAGCTGGCCTGGAACTCTTGCCTCAGGCACGTCCCATTACGATGAGTCACTTGACAGAGAGGGAAACTGAGGCTCTGACCTGCCTGAGCTCCTCCACCCCCAATCCGTGGCTCTTGGAAGTGAACCCTGGCAATTTGAAGCAGCTGCTGCAGACTGGGAGGCTCCGGGCGTTGGTGAGGTTCCAGAGGGATGGAGGGGCAGTCAGTCCTGCGCTGCCCAGGGCAAGCCTGCTAGGTCCGTGGACACTTCAAGACGGCTTTCCAAATGCTACGTCCCCGTCCCCGTACACCCCCCCCCCCCCCCCCCCCCCCCCCCCCCCCCCCCCCCCCCCCCCCCCCCCCCCCCCCCCCCCCC